GGCCATCTGTGTCTCATTCGCTCGCTGCCTGGGACACGGAAGAAATCCTGCTTGTGGGAGCCAGGGCCTTGCATGTTAGAAAAACTCCTTTTTTTTTCCTCTTAAATTTTTTTTTTTTTTTTTTTTGCCCTGCAGCAGAGCTGGGAGTGTTGTTTCCAGAGCAAATGCACAGCGAGCTCTGGCTGGGTGGGTGCCTTTGCACTGCTCAGTGCCATCGGCTTGGTTGGTGGGAGAAAGGCGGACAAGGGGTTGTGCAGGGCTGGGAGCGGGGTTGGCATCACCCACCCAAGGGAGTGACTCCCCCCTTCAGCAGCCTGGGCACCAGAGGCTGGGGTGCAGGTGGAGTCCCACAGCAGAGCACAGCCCTAAAATCCTGGTGGGTTCCCTCCTCCAGGACTTCAGAGGCACCAGGAACCTTTACAGCCTTTACAGACCAGGCTTTACAGCCCCTTCCTTTGAAGGGAGGGTGCTGTGGTGCCACATCTGCCACATGTTGTGGGTCACCTTGCCCTTTCTCAAGCTGTACAATATTTAGGACCACTGCTGTTCCCAACCCTGCTCCCATGTGGGGAGCAACTGTCCTACCCTGCACAGCAGTGGCTCAGCCCTCCTGCCGGCGTCGGGGGGCTCGCTGCAAACCTGAAGCCCAGAGCCACGGGCTGAATAAAGGTTCCTGTCTCAGGTTTCCCCATCTGGGTTGAGAAGGGCTGGGCGGTGGTTAGAGGTGGGGTTTGGGATCGGAGGCTCCTCGTTCCCCAGCCCAGGGCTCCAGGATGACTGCGGTTGCAGCTTCAGAGCCTCCGCGCCGGCTGCTGGCCACAATCGCCGCCCGCGGCGTAGCCAGGCAGCCCCAGCCGGGGAAAATAGGTGGCTTTCAGAAGCGACTCCGTAACGTGGCAGAAAAAAAAGTCAAATCTTCTTGCAGGAGGGGCAAAATGTTCAGTTTTTTGGGGGAATGTGAAAGCCCCCGGTCTGGTTTTTCCCGGCCTGGTGGGGAGTGGCCGCCCTTTCCAAGTGTTGGGACGGTGGGAGGCGGGATCGTAGCAGCGCCCTGGCAGTGCAGGGATGGTTTCCATTCGGCCTGAACGTTACAGGGGGGATAGTGTTTCATGTCGTGCTGCTGGGGCTCTCTTCCGCAGCAGCACCAGCCCCCGTGTCCCCCAAAGGGGGGCTTGGAATAAAATAGCCGCAGTGTTTTCCTAGCTGCCTCCTCTGGAGCAGGATCCTGTGCACCTGGCTGCTTCCCAAAGGAAACGGATCTGCCTGGATAATGTTTCCCAACCTGATCACCAGGAATGCTGCTCATTTTGCTCAGGACTTTCTCCCTCGGGGACGCAACCGCACTTATATTCCTCTGCTTTCCTCCGTTGTGCTCCTCCCCCACTTCCTGCCCCCCAAAAGTGGGGATGCTCACCTTGTTTCTGCGTGGATGGTGACCCTGTGTTTCTGGTTGCTTTGCAGGGGCAATGCTTGGAGGAGACCTGAACAACACAAATGGAGCCTGCCCGAGCCCTGTGGGTAAGTGAGGAGCCTTCCAGCCCTGTGCCCAGGGCTCCGTGTGCCACTCCTGCCCGTGGTTTCCCCACGTGTCCCCCAGGATTTTGCTTTGCCGTTCAGAGGGAAGCGCTGGGGAAAATTTTGCTGCCGTTGGCGGTGGGAGGAGTTGGCATGTGGAGCTCCAGCCTTTGTGGGGAGTGCTGGTTTCAGTGAAGACCCCGGAGACTGAGGTGTATCCCTCTCCCCTGGGTCTCTGGGAGTGCTGAAGATCAGAGGAGTGATCCATGAGGACCAGGATTTGGGCACCACTGGCTTTAGCTCCTCACGCTGCAGCCAATTTCCCCCCCTCACCTCAGGTGATCAATTAACACCCAGTTCCTCCTCAGGCTTGGGCCCTGTAAAGCAACTTTACTGCAAGGGAAAAAGCTCATTAAGGTCCCTTTCCATTGCGAGAGCCTCGATGCTAACGAGGCTCAGGCCTTGTGGCTCAGCTCCCTGGCTGTAAAATGCACTAACATCATCTCCATCCCCACATCTGCCTCCGCCGTCTGCAGGCTGAGGATGTCAGCCCGGCGCTGGTGTGGGCACGGCCCAAAAACCAGCCATGGCCCCAGGCCCTGCTGGGAAGCTGCTGCAGGCCCTGGGCTTGGGCTTGGCAGGGTGGATACCATCTGTCCCAGGGTGAAGGCAGCCTTGCTCCAGGAGCCTGGCTTGTCACCCCTCCTCCAGGCCTTTTTGCAGCGGGGCTCCAGCCGACAGCGCGGAGTAGGAATGTGGAATTCCACGTTGCCCCAATTAAAACCAAACTGGAGCCGGGTCCCGCCGGCTCTGTGGATGGGGCTGGTCCAGCACTGCAGCTGCCCAGTCCCTGTGCCCTGCACCACAGCCCCTCCTGGGAATAGCCTTTTCCCAGTGCTGGGCAGCAGCCGTGCCAGTGCCAGCGGGATTTCTTCCCAGGTGCCAGGGCGGTCCGGGAGGCTCGCAGTGCCCGACACGGAGCTTTGCTGGTGCTCGAGGGCAGGGGGAAGGGGCCGCCGTGCCACGGCCCCCCCCAGGCACCTTGGCGGCCCCTGTCCCCCACCGGCCGCCCCCACGTCAGCTGTCGGAGCAGCCGTGGCAGGAGCTTGGCAGGGCCCCTGAATGTCAGCATTGACGTCACCGGAGCATTCCCCGCGTTCCTGCCGCCACTGCAGGAAACGGGCGTGAGGAGCAGGGACAGCCCGACCAGGGCCAGCCCCGGACCCCCCGCCGGCCCCGACCCCCCGCCCGCCCCGGGGCTCCCTGCATGGATGTGGGAGGGGAGCGCGGCTCTGGCACTGCGCTTGTGGTTTTCAGATACCTGGGGCATCTCTTCCTCCTCCTTCTCCTCCTCCTCCTCCTCCTCCTCCCTTGCAGTCTCTGCAGCACTGAGTGATCACCTGCTACCTCTGAGTCATCAGCTGCGGGTGCCTCTGGCTGGATCCTGCAGCGATGCCGGCTGTATCCCGGCTGTATCCCTGCTGTATCCCGGCTATATCCCGGCTGTATCCCGGCTGTATCCCGGCTATA